ACAGACACACAAACAATGACTTTTAATGGATCCCGAGTAGAACTAGATACGCTGATAGACAGCGAGAAACGCCGATTTGAGCATTCACTTAAGATCCCTGCAGATTCCCGAACATTCGTCAAGTTCACTCAGTATTCCTTGCCCAAACTTCTTGACATGAGTTTCTTGAAGTTGTATAGTTCAGGTGGATGCAGGTACGTTATTATCCATATTGAACACGATAGAAGGACGCCTCAGATTAATCCTTCGTGCTAAACAACAAATGTTGGTGCACGAATGCGTCTCCTGCTGACTCCTTGCCTCTTCAATACGAAATTCTTGAAGGCAACATCACGGGGCGACCACCTGTGAAACTACCCACTGTGTGTGGGGTGTGCAATATGCATCTCCTTCTCGCTTTCGCTCTGTCTCTTTTACATCCATATTATTTTCCCACCTGTGAGGTGTCAAGCAACAGGATCTAGTCTAGTTAAGCTCTCTACTTTTCTTATATTTCTTCTCAATCTCTTTCTCTCTCTCTCTCTCTCTCTCTTTCTCTTTTTATTTCTCTATAGGTACGAGCTCTTCCGTTAAGTCAAGCTCTTCACATTTCGTATAAAGCTATTTCTCTGTCTCATTGTTGGGAAACGAGGCATATAAGAGGCATTGACTAAAATTGCGCACGCACTCGAGAGCACTATACTCCGGACGCGGGCATAGTAATCGGATTCCGGCCTATATATCCAGCAGGCAATTCTCTTTTCGGGTGCCTCTTACCTAAATGAGAAAATAAAAGAGAAGAAAGTGATGACTAATGGCAACTGAAGTAGTGAATTGTTGTAGATACTATCACAATCTAAAAGCATAGAGATGGAAAGGAGAAAGTGTGTGTCTCGGGAAAGCAATGGGTCTCTCACCAGTGAGAGGGCTGGGTTGATTGTTCCATAAGGGTGCAAGTGCATTCGATATAGATGCGCACAGGTGTAGCTTGCGCTTTATTGTAGATCGTCTGAGTAATCGGCTGTGCTTTCACCCGCTGTGAGGTTCGTCGGCCGATGTGCCCGCCTAATGGAAACGTTGCATGTCAATCAATATAGCGCAAGCTAAAAAAATAAAAATCAGGAACTCGTGCCCTACCGAGAAAATCAAGCTAAGCGAAGCTTGCGTGAGGCATGATTCACGCTCTTTCTTTCTTTTCTTCTTTTTCTCTTCCTGTCTTTCTAGACTGCACTGGCCAATACTAGCTAGAACAAGTCAGTCAGGCTGGTGCTAATCGCCTTCGCGAAACAAGGCACACCAAGAGAATCGAGGAATACAGATCTATCTATCTATCTATCTATCTATCTATCTATCTATCTATCTATCTATCTATCTATCTATCTATCTATCTATCTATCTATCTATCTATCTATCTATCTATCTATCAGCTGTCTGTCTGCCTGCCTGCCTGTCTGTCTGTCTGTCTGTCTGTCTATCTATCTATCTATCTATCTATCTATCTATCTGTCTATCTATCTATCTATCTATCTATCTATCTATCTATCTATCTATCTATCTATCTATCTATCTATCTATCTATCTATCTATCTGTCTGTCTGTCTGTCTGTCTGTCTGTCTGTCTGTCTGTCTGTCTGTCTGTCTGTCTGTCTGTTTATGTAATGTTATATTGTTTTATTTATATTTTCATGCATGGTATTTTAATGTACTTTGTGTAAATCTAAAATTATGTAAGCTGTACTAGGCGCAGATCGGTACTCAGTGTTCGAGAAGCGTCACGTTTGTAGTAGATCAATTTGTTAAGCTTCACACAGGACGTGAACACTCAAGATTGTTCCAGAGCTTGCGTGACTATCAGTGATAAGGCAAGAAAGTTCGACGCGTGATGTTTGAAAGACGGCAAGTCCCAACGATGCAAATACCACAGGATAAAAAAAATGCTAGAAACCGTAATGTGTAGAGTTGGTTTCTTTCGACCGTAAACATATCTCTGTGAATTCGAGTGAAAAACTACGAATAAGTAATTTCACATACTCCCATCGGCTTTTTCATCATGCCACCGTTATCCACAAAGCTTCCATCACGCCACCGTTATCCAGCTTGTTCACCAAGCCACCCAACAAACAATTTTTGAATCTTTACCATCAACCGGCACGTTCCACTTGCCCACCATTGGCTCGCCACCACCAACCACCACCATCTGCCACCATTTTTTGCACTCTCGCCGTAATCAGCCATTATGATGACTACAGCTTCAATCTTGTACACCTTTATTTCCAAAATATCCAATATTATTTCCATCATATACGCCAACGATTCGAATATCCACCGACCCCGGATTTTCAATATGGTAGTGACTTCATCGTAATCGGGTATGCCATGTAGTGCACGTATCCGAGCTTGGTACACTATATATATATTGCCCGCCATTATAAGCCTATTATAAGCCTATTAGAGTCTTGGAAGAACGCTAACATCATCTTAATACATAAGAAAGGAGATGACAATGACTTGAAGAATTACAGGCCGATTAGCTTGCTCTTTGTAGTATACAAGCTATTTACAAAGGTAATTGTTAACAGAGTGAAGAAAACATTAGCATTCAATCAACCAAAGGAACAAGCAGGATTTCGAACAGGCTACTCAACAATCGACCATATTCATACTATCAATCAGGGAACAGAGAAATGCTCAGAAAATAACCAACCACTATATATACATAGCTTTCATAGATTACGAGAAGACGTTTGATTCACTAGAAATATCAGCCGTCATGCAGACACTGCGGAATCAGGGCGTCGATGAAACATATATTAACATCCTGGAAGAAATCTACAGGGGATCAACTGCTACCATAGTGCTTCATAAAGAAAGCAACAGAATACCAATCAAGAAGGGTGTAAGGCAGGGGGACACAATCTCCCCAATGCTATTTACCGCGTGCTTACAGGAGGTTTTCAGAAGCCTGGAATGGGAACAGTTAGGGATAAGAGTTAATGGAGAGTACCTTAGTAACCTGCGCTTCGCCGATGACATTACATTGCTTAGTAACTCAGGGGACGAATTGCAACTCATGATTACGGAGTTAGACAAGGAGAGCAGAAAGGTGGGTCTTAAAATTAATCTGCAGAAAAAGAAAGTAACGTACAACAACCTCGGAAGAGAGCAGCGCTTTGAGATAGGTAATAGTGCACTTCAAGTTGTAAAAGAGTATGTCTACTTAGGGCAGGTAATAACCGTGGAGCCGAACCACGAGAGTGAAGCAACTAGAAGAATAAGAATGGGGTGCATGGAGCACATTTGGCAAGAACTCTCAAATTATGACAGGTAGATTGCCACTATCCCTCAAGAGGAAGCTATATACCCGCTGTATCTTGCCGGTACTTAGCTACGGCGCAGAAACCTGGAGACTTACAAAGAGGCTTCAGCTTAAATTGAGGACGACGCAGCGAGCAATGGAAAGAAAAATGGTAGGTGTAACCTTAAGAGACAAGAAGAGAGCAGAGTGGATTAGGGAACAAACGGGGGTTAAGGATATCATAGCTGAAATCAAGAAGAAGAAATGGACATGCGCCGGGCATGTAGCGCGTAGACAGGATAACCGCTGGTCGTTAAGGGTAACTAACTGGATTCCCAGAGAAGGCAAGCGGGTTAGGGGAAGACAGAAGGTTAGGCGGGCAGATGAGATTAAGAAGTTTGCGAGTATAAATTGGCATCAGCAAACACAGAACCAGGTTAGCTGGCGGGACATGGGAGAGGCCTTTGTCCTGCAGAGGACGTAGTCAGGCTGATGATGATGATGCTGATGAAGATGATGATGATGATGATGATAAGCCTACCCATCATCTGCTTACTGCGTCCCAGCATTGTCGCAATGGTGGGCAGAGCTTCTCAGCTTGGTACATCATGTGACCCACCATAATAAGCACCACCCATCATCTGCTTAGTGCTTCCCAGCATTATCGCAATGGTGGGAAGAGCCTGCCATGATTGCCCACTATCTAGCCTCTACTTCCAACAATCGTTCCCACTTTACCCATCTTCTGTACACCCTGCCACCCAGTATGTGCCAGCATATCCACCATATTATCCACTACGTCCCGGCATATCTACAATAATTTCCACTATGCCCACTATTATTTCCACTACGCCCACCATATTTTCCAGTATCCACAATGGTAGTTTTCCAATTGCTTAACCTTTTACACTGTTCTTTTCATCCACTTCACCCATGCGTCACCCCTAATAGGTCGGCTCGCGTTTCGTTTCTGTTTCAGGCGCGTTCTTCACCACCGCTTGCACGCGATTACCCCCTGGTAGAATGTACGATGCACGGGGAACGCTATTGATTAGGACTTTATATGGAACGTGACAGCGCCAGTGATGTCGACGGTGAAAACTTGTCCAAAGTGTTCATTTCATTGGTACCGCAATAGCAATGCAGCCAGCGTCGAACAGTGAAGATAGAGGATGATTATATGACCTTCGGTGGTAAGATATCGTCGTTATCGTTTCGGGCATTGTTGTCATCATCATTTCCTTTATATCTTCGGTCACGTGAACTATTTGAACCTATGTCATTGTGACTCCTAGTACTATAATTACTATAATACTACTCAGGCGGGGCAATTACCTGAAAATTATGTAAGGGTACATCTGCCGGCCACCTATAACATCCTAATCCTAATCTTAATCCGTAGCTAAAATTTTTTTCGGGGTGGGGGAAGCATTTATTGACCGCTATGAACAACGCTTATTTTCATCATTTGTTTGTCGTAAAACACCCCCCATTTTACCAATCTTTGGGGGGGGGGGGGGGGAGTGTGGTCTGGACCCCTAAAACCTCTCCCTCTAGCTACGGCCCTCTTACTACTACGACGACGAATGCGGAATAGGGTAAACTGAGATATATTCACTCTCCGGGGAGCAAACAAATGAAATTTGCACAACAAAATTTTCTAGACGTTCACGTCACACGCTACCTATCTACTTCGCATCTGCCAGCATGATCTCAACCCACTCACCGCTTACGTTCAGGTGACTTGTTGGAAGTAGCCGCGAAGAGACTGATCACGGAGCCCTGTTTGCTCCGTGCCTCGTCGTCCGAGAAGGCACCCCCTCCGTCACTGGTCCCGTAGACGGCGGGCTGTTGTGACGAAGACTGCGCCATCGACGCACCGCCGTCCGCACAAGCGGCCGTCCCCGGTCCTCCCACGGGCGTAGCCGCGGCTGCGTATGTTCGCTGCAGGTTGGCGATGTTCTGCTCGATGTCGAGCAGCGCCTGCCGGTCGTCGTCGAAGCTGCCCAAATTGGTGGGCAGGCCCGGGGCGTGCCATGCGCCCACAGAGCCATCGGGTGCAGTGTAGCTGACCTCCATCACGATCTTTGACTGTGGCAGGTGGAGAAATGTGCGGATTGATAGATAGATAGATAGATAGATAGATAGATAGATAGATAGATAGATAGATAGATAGATAGATAGATAGATAGATAGATAGATAGATAGATAGATAGATAGATAGATAGATAGATAGATAGATAGATAGATAGATAGATAGATAGATAGATAGATAGATAGATATATAGATAGATAGATAGATAGATAGATAGATAGATAGATAGATAGATAGATAGATAGATAGATAGATAAAATATATTCGAGAGAAAACGGACAACACACATGAAGAGAGGTGACTATACGGGCGCTTACCGAAGGAAAGCACCCAACAAAGCATTTTAAATATTGATTGATTTTGTAATCAATGATTGATTGTATCACCGATTGGTTTAGTGAGTGAGTGAGTGGCTTAAATAAATACTGGAAAGTTTCACTGAAACGGTGGGGACATGCGGGTTGATTGATGATTTGATTTATTTTGTGTTCATTGATTGAAGAACACACATATATTGGATGAGTGATTGATTAGTTTGACTGAAAATTGATGACCTGCATGAACACCTGGTTGTAACTTGTTTTCTTCTTCTACGTTATTTTGGCTTTTAGCCAGAGGTATTCTGTAGTAATGCAGAGCAAGTTTATTTTGCAGACGCAGCGTATTCTGTAAGAGCAATTTCTTTCATTGGTAGTAATCCATCAATGCCGAGTAGTTGATGGTCTATCACTGAATTGCTCTGATGCATCAATCGGAGAGGAACGTCGAGTGCCTACGCAGTAACGCACTCCACTACATGCTTTCAAATGGTTCTTAAGACGAAACTCTACGCTATAGCCGACTAGAACTACGGGATAGCATGTATTTCACCTCCACGTGACGTTATCCCATGGCAGGCACGAACAAAAGCCACTAGAAATCAGCTTATGTGGGTGCTGGGTCTTCAAGGGATAACAAAAGCAGAGCAGTACACTACTCCGCCCGAATACTCCTTCCTTGTACCCTGTCTAGCAGCAACTTTGACCCCGGATTTAGCAACCAACACCTAATACAACATATGCAGATATTCTGCAGCTATATTTTCTGAAGTTACGAACTCTCCCTCATTCGACTCTGGTACTTACTAGAAAAAAAAAAAGAGAGAGACCCGTCTCTGCAGGCTGAAAACCATATCGTATGGCAGCCTAGCCAAAATAGACCAAGACTCCGAACAAGTTATTGCTCTGTTAGAGGCAAGGGCAAGTTGCGATGGCATGTATCGCATCACTTGGTGCTGTCAGTGTAATAAAAGCATCGCTCGGAATGGCGCAGCCTATGTGGGAGGGATGGAAGGAGGCTTAATCCAGCCCAGCTCTCGGGGCTCTTCTGAGCCTCGTGGAGCGGGCACGGGTTGATTCGCAGTTCAACGAAGCCCCTGCAATAGGAACCTGCCTGAGATAATCTTGAATAAACAGCAGTACACGACCAACATTCCGCGAAAAATAGTTTATTCATTCGTTCATTTCTTTTAGGTTCTTTATCAATTTGTAGTTCCTTATGAATGAGTGAGCTTCTCGTATATCGCGCAGGTTTTTTTCACCCCCAGATATTTCAACATAGCCTTCGCATATAATATAGTACTTTATTCCTACTTTATTTTCTGCAGAACCGCGATGTACAACTCGTTTGTATGATACACATTTTGCATGCTTTGATCCTATAGCCATCACACTCATCGTCTCAGCGTGAGGTCCTTGGTCGGCAACTCCACATTAACAGATACTTTACGCGACCAGTGTAAACACGTTCGTACCACGTCACCCTATAGCCGTCGACCCACAGAATCCACGCCCGAACCCCTGCCGTCCTACGTAACATCAGCTGAAGTTTTGTTCCTGCATGGGTGACTAGTCCAGACCTTAAGGACTGCAGTCTAGCGACTGAGAAATCGAGCAACGAGGCACCGAACAAAAACAGTCGCTTTGCGGCCATCGGTCATTTGCGACCAACTTGATAGCTCTGGCAGTGCTGGTCGCTGGCGTGAATGAGCATTAAACAGGCTTAAAGCACAGTAAGACGACGCTGAATTGCGGGGCGCACTCACGTTGGCCACTGGCTTGTTGTTGTCGTCCACAACGTCGTCCTCGATGGCCGCGTACCCTTCCTCGGCGACTCGTTGGAGCACCATGCCGTAGCGCCCTAGAACCCTGCACGGAGAGGACGAGTGCTGATGAAAGAACATACGAAAAAATGGGGAATCGGTGTGAGAGCTTATTGCGTTTCCAAGCGAATATAGACCCTCGAGAAGCATTCGCATCGTCGCCGTTGGCGTCGCCGTCATGTCCGGATATTACCGGCGTGTACGCGACTGCCGGGCGTTGTGGTCTTAGAAACCCCTAGTTAAGAACAGTCGGTAATGCTGACCCTTAAATTTAGACTGAATGACGCCAATGTGTTTAGAAAGCGTGTTTAATGATTTGAAATATTTCGTATTGTAGTGTTTAGAAAACGTTTATTGCGCATAATTATGCGTCAGTAGCCGTGATTTGGTCATTTCATGAACACTTGTAGAACCAGGCCTCATTAAGCCAGTATTAGCCGACATTATCCAGCAGTGTTCATCGTTTGTCTAACTTAAAGCAACATTATCTCTCATTTAGGCAATAACTCTCAAAGGTTATCTCAATATTAACCAGCATGAGGCCGATTCATAAGGTGCGTGGGACCTGCCGAATTTTTTACCTTTGACTTATCATTGTTTAGCGATGCATGGCCGTGGGCGATGGCGTCATACCAGCCAGTCTCGAGTGAACTCAGTATAAACGATTCCATGAAACACCAATAGGCATTGCCACTTAACAGACCCACCGCCACCGTTCAACCAGTGTTTAACAGGAAATGTGGCGGCACCACCCTAAATTATTAATGTAATGCTACCTTATATCTGTATATCGCCTTACAAATTAATAAGGTGCTCAAACGTCACTTGCGCCAACCCAATTAATGTCATGCGTATGCCTCTACCACAGCACTGTATAGTTGTTATAGACACAAACAGCCAAGGTTTCAACATCGCGAAATGACGACACTAAAGCCAATCCGCAAAATGTTCTACAAAGTGAGCCATACACACTCAAGCATAAAATTATATCAATGATGACGAGCCCCGAAACGCCCATGAAAGTCTGGCCATGCTCAGGCTAGACCATTAACAAGGTACCGTGATAGTGTTCTGGCGCTTCGACTACGTCTGGCGTCTACCGATGGCAGCTCACCAAGCGTAAACAACGTGTACGTCGTAAGGCGTTTTGTCGGAAGCAGTACACTCAGCCATTAGGCGTCTTTCATGCAAACCACGGCTGCTTCGAAGCACGTTTCTGGTGGTCATGCTGATCATACGAGTATAAAAAATTAAGAAGTGCGCGCACACACGTGAAGTAATTTGTTGGCGAAGTCCACGGTCAGTTACGACCTTACAGCAGGTGTAGGCTCTACCACAGCCATCGCTGCACCACCCAGCCAGAATTTGCATAAATGCTCAAACCAATGACAATCCGCCTCTTTCGCGAAGCCACGGGGCACGTTGGCTTCCTTTCGCAGGAAAGTCGCAAAGTGCCCCTTCGTCTGGGAGGCTAAGGTTAAGGCAATACCTGTCTACATCGAAACAATTCTTTACTTCTATAACTTCCCTCACCTTACGGTTCGTTGCTGACAAAGGCTTTTCTTGTTGAGGTACATTCCTTGTTTCTAGTTTTCTGCGCCTGCGAGGAAACGCTTGAGCACATTCTATGTCATTGCCCAGCATACCAGACTGAACGACGTATTATGGAAGCCAAGCTCTGTCAGCTGGATTCACGGCCGCTTACAGAAGAGAAGATCCTGGGACCTTGGCCGACGGCGTCCCATACGCGCAAAGCCACGAAAGCCCCCTTGTACTTTTTAAGGACCACCAAACTTCACGACCGCTTGTGAAAGAACTGTGCGAGGCCGTGCTGTGTAGTCTCGAGCTGACTATTTATGCTTCTCTTTCTTACTCCTTTTCTTTTCTGTCTCTTTCCATTCTATTATTCCCCTTTTCCCCCACCCCAAGTGTAGGGTAGCCAACCGAGCCAAGCTTGGTTAACCTCCCTGCCTTTCCTCTCTATTTATCTCTCTCTCTCTCTCTCGATTGCAAGATTAAACTCTAGAAAATTTAGATGAAAATTGCGGCATTACTTCCCAGCCGAACATAACATTGGAATGGACGAGAGCGAACATTTAATTTACGATATGCGTGGTATTTACATTTGCAGCAGAAAGTAGTTAAATTAAGACTATCTTGCACAAAGGAATGGCAGACAGGTGCATGGAAGTTCTGGAGGCAGAGCGTGTCTTTATTAGATGCGAAGTAGCTCTTTGACTCACGTGTGTAACGTTGTACGTACGTGCGTGCGTCCGTACGAAAGCACCGCAACGCGTTCCCCTCGCCGCAAGTATTAGAGCGATGCGAGGTAGGTCACGCCGAAGCTGCGCGTTTACGTCACACTCTCCTTGCATTCCTCCCTCGCAGGTGCGCGCTGACGTCACTTTCTCCCTCACCCGCCACGCGTTCTCTGCAGCTCCCGCAGCTGCTGGCTCCTCCGCCCACTCGCAACAGATTTCTTTCACGCTTCAACCTCTCCACCACCCGCAACATTCGACCACGCATTGAGTGTGAACACTCTTTCGGCTCACTGGCTCGTTCATCTGCGATGAAACTTACATGAAACTCAATGCACCTTCTGTGTTTTTGCGTTTGAAGCAAACATTTACTCGAGTAAACGATACATCGCATTTCCCTTCAAACCGTTGTTCCAGCACCTACGTCGATGCCCGTTTCAACCGGGTCAGCGCCGAGCGCACCGCTGCCGCTTCGCATCTCATCAGAGTTCCCTTCGGGAAGATGGTCCATATTTTTTCTTAAGTTTTAAGCGCAGCAGGAGCTCCTTACTTGTAGGTTGAAGCGACAGTAAACATATGTACATATTTTATTGTATGTGTCAATTAGATTTTCATGATTCCTTAATCACCCGCAATTTGAAAAGCAGACTTTCACTTTGACTTCACCCTAAGTTAATGAATCTATGATGGTGAAATCCACAAGAGCAGAGTTCTCAAAGTGAAACTTATCAATATAAACTGCTAAAACTGCTTCTTAGACTAGTTGGTTCATGATCAGGGTAAATTCAGTCAGTGAATCGTAATAAACACCACGCTCTTCAGAATGCCGTATCTATGCATTTTCTACATAAATAAACACACTACCAAGTACTTACCTATTCATGTTGTACCTAAAATATGCGTAATATTTGGTTTTTGATTCACGATGTTCAGTAGGAAGAAGACAGATCAAGATAGGTGGGTGTTGAGCAAGGGGTTAAACTTTGCCGGTGCTTGAATCGTTGCACAGACAGGCCAACAGACAGACAGGCCAAAATTAGGGCGTTGAGGTATCCCAAGCAGTTTTTTTTCTATTGATGTGATGTAAGGAGATGTTAATGCACCAATAGGGTGCCGGCTCCTCCTTATCGCTTGAAATTGTCTAATAAGAATGTTTACACAAGATCCAAGTCTCCGGGTGTAGCAAGTCCACAACACATAAACTATACAATTTAGCATAAGCAGTATTATATTGCCTCCAAAACTCGCGGGGTTACTAAAGCATTCACCTAAGACCACTCAAAGGAAAAAATCTATCTTCTCTATTCTCATCAATCGACGTAATTGTCCTCTCTAACCCATCTGCGAAGGCTTCTGCACTTAGCGTGATTATGCGCTACGTTCCAGGATTGGAGGCATTGCTAGCTTTCCACACGTGATGTGGTTTTGCATAGGCCTCTGTGATCGAGCCCCCTTTGACCAGTGGAGGACTATCGTGATGACGCACTCACGTGACGTCAGGTTATGTGACGTCGTATTGGCATGGAAAATTTTGGAGGTCTGTGACGTCATGGTTCCGTCACGTGGGGACGTCTTCCTGTGATGATGATTTTTCGCATTACTTGTATTGATGCCAATGGGGTTGACGTCGATGCTTAACTTTTGTTTTTTTATGAGGCATCTATGCCTTTCGCCGTAATAACGCGTCTCTCACGCAGTGCGGCTCATTGCGCAATGCAGAGAAGTCCAGCACACGATCGTATAACTGAATGCTTGGCAAAGTGTTCCGCACACTTTCGCGCTCATATGTCACAAGGAGTGTAACATGCTTCCTAACTTTTTTTCTCTGTCGCGACTGAGTATTATGCACAGTCATGGCCATGCGATAAAACAATTCGGCCCTTACCAAATACCAAAGTGTGGGTAATGGAAAGACTGTGTCCATTGACACATCTGGTCTGGCCAGAAAATAACACGATACGCGTGTCTCCCTTTTCGGCACCTCTCTCACATATAGGACGGCAGTGAGGATCCACCTTCGCTTGATCAACTCACCACTCCCTCGCCCGTGGCGTGGGCACAAATTCACAGTTTTGCCAAAAGGGCGAAGCGAGTGCGATAGCAACATATTCGAATGTTTTCGAAGCAAGGCTAGCATCTCTAGGAGCAATATCAATTGTAGTAAACATGCGCTTGTTAAGTAACCAAATTTGCTGCGTCGCCGCCACAGTAGATAACCACAACGAGTCTCCTGCGCAGTGACAGCGTTGATATACGAAGTGAGGCGGGGACTCATCTGATTTAGATCCCATCTCACGTAACTATACACAGCGCTGCTGTAAGAGAATATGGCCGATCCATGTACACTTTTGGCAGAGTTTTTTTTGGTGTTTAGAGCGCAGCCCGTAGAAGCTCCCGCCTGATGTGGTGGCACAAGCCGCACGCTGATCCTTGCCGTGGCAACCATAAGTGCCCCCCCCCCTCCCCATTTCCTTGTTCGCTCACGAGATAAGCGAGCGCGCAGACGACCCCAGCCGGAAATCCGGAAATGCAATCTTCGCACCACACAAGGAGGAGACTAGCGCATTCTTTCCCGTAAATATATATATATATATATATATATATATATATATATATATATATATATATATATATATATATATATATATATATATATATATTATATATATATATATATATATATATATATATATATATTCTAGTAGATCCTCCGTGAGCGGTCACAACGTGGTTTATTTCGACGTTTCGGCCTAGAGTCTGTACTTCATCAGGAATAAAGATACAGTTT